CTGTGATTGGAGCATTGAAATCCTGACCATGCAGTCACTCAGTTAGCACCTTTGACCATATACTGCATATATGTTACTGATCTGAATATTGACTGCAATATGATACCTAACCTACTGACCCACATTTACAATTAGCCTAGTTAGATCAAAGATAAATCCACAACGATTCTGTTCATATTACGGTTACCAGACACACACACCTGCCAATTTTGGCCATATATATTGTGTAATAATTGCTATATTTTAAATGACTGAAAGATTACAAACCTCTATTATATTGATAAACACTTAAACGGATACAGTATCAGGCTTTCAGATTTGAAAAGTACAGGAGGACTACTAATGACTCCCCTAGGACACCATAGGGGGTCTTTTCACGCTCTATAATCACACCCTTAAGAGGCATGATGGAGAGCTTCACTAAAAAATCACACCCTTAAGAGGCATGATGGAGAGCTCCACTAAAAATCATACCCTTAAAAAGGATGATGGAGAGCTCCTTGAGGGCTCTCCATCATGCCTCGTGGGGTGTGATGATGGAATCAGGACCAATCCTCAGTCTAGAGTGAAATTCAAAACGAAAATTGGGATGTCATGTCAATCCACTGATTATCATTCATCTTCACCTTCATTCATTCAATGGCTTCGTCATGATTACATTCTTTTCATCCAACAACCCAACACTAGCACACAATTAATAAAGAGTGATCGGATGTAAAAAATTAACTTGTTTTATTTATTCTGATCTTCATCTTAGAGACTCTAATCCATGCTACCGTGCATAATTTCAGCGAACGAAATAGTCATCACAATGCCATCTACAAATTAGGCCACAATTACTTTGTAGCGTGTAGCCACTAATGAGCCCCTCCAGCGCCTAACGACTGTTTCACATCGGCAGAAAACCAACTTCTTGGCCACGCTACGAGTGGAGAAACGTACCAGGTAACGTTGTGCGCCCTACCGTGTAGGTACTGTATTTGGATGCTGTTGCTCTAGTTGTATAAACCAGGAGGCGGTAGCTAACCTGCTACGCTCTGCCATAACTGTTCAGCTTACTACACACCACGAAATTGTTGTGTGTGGCTAACCTTTCTGCTATCCCCGCTACAGTTTGACAACGCTAAGGAGCGCGAATATTTTCGACATAATACAACAGACTTTTTTGTGCCGCGATTTCAACGCACTTTTATGAAGGCCACAATGATGCACGCACCATGGCACAATTCGGTTTTCGTGCGCGGTGGAGCAGCAGATCGCCGCCCCGCATTAGAAAATGAAGAGCCTGCAGTATTTACAGCATAAAAGGTATGACAAACGCAGGCAGGCGGCTCGAATTAAGCGGCCGAGAGGGCAAGAAGGCCATTTTTTTTATGGGGCCACGTGAGAAATCGGCCCTTGAATTTTCTCATAAGAATGGAAAGGCTACAGAGAGCAATTTTTAAAAAGGCAACGCAAGGCAACTTTGCAAAAATTTGAGAAGGGTCAGCCAAGGCACTGTTTGTAAAATAAAGGAAAACTCATAACAAATTAGTACATCAACATCGTCTTGCTTTTAATGTACAAAACAATATGCCCCCATGTACAAGCTTACATCGTAACACCGACCCCTGTACCCACCTCTGCTAATGGAAGTACAGTAACAATAAATTTTATATGCCCGCTATCAGGAGTGAATAATTATCCGATGCTGTTATTGTTCCCTCCTGCAACTATCGGTTTTAAGCTCATCATTGCAACTACAGCACGCACGCGCACGTGTTATGTTGATTCGACTAAAAACGAAACTAGGACAGTAGATTAAAGGGCACCGACGGCAATTACACAAAAGGGCAAGGCAGGTGACTGCCGTCGGTCGAGTTGGATTTTCAGGGGCAGTACGGCAATTAATAGGGGCACCGACGGCAATTCGGCAATTGCCGTCGGTGCCGTCGGTTAATTCGAGCCCTGAACGGCAGGATATTGTAAAGTATAGCTCCACCTATCTTAATTGTCATACCTTGTTTTTGTGTGTTCCATGCTTGATCAATATTCCATAGGATAATGCAATCATCAGCACAGCTGCACAGCAGTGACCCTCTACCAAAGCTGACTGCTGTCACTGGTCTACTGTGCCCTTGCAGTTCCAAAACCTACATTGTGAAAAATGCTGTTGTTAATTTAATTTATATAAATTATACATATTTATAAAAGGACTGGCTAGTATATAGATTTGCCTACTTGCCCGGTCGCAATGGCTTCTGGTTAAAGTGAGGAGCTCAATATCTCGACATCCTCTCTGAGCGTTATATTTAGTAACAATCTATCTAGATATTAAGAACAAATCCACAAAATGGCTTGAAGATGAACTAGGGTATTATCTTGCTGTTGAAGATCCAGGCACACACACATGTACACAAAATAGAGAATGAGACAAGGAGAGGGAGAAGGAGAAAGAGGGAGCGGGGGAGCAAGAGAGTTAGAGGGAGAGGGAGAAACAGATACAGACACAGGCAAACACACACACAGACACGCACGCACACACATGCAAAAAGATAAAGAGAGAGATAGATAGAAAAAGGGAAAAGGGAGAGAGAGACAGACAGACACGAGAGAGACTAAGAGACAGAGAGCGAGCAGGAAGGGTACGGCATAGAGAGCCAGACAAATTAAATTTAAATAATTACAAGGCCAAGTTGAGAGGATGGATTAATTATTTATAATTTCGATATGAAATTGTACATGATGCGACGAAGCTGGCAGATGCTTGTACACGTACCTCTTCCGAGATATCCTCCAAGCTCCACACGACCACTGTACGACCACCATGAGGTGAAGCCACGTATAATCCATTGCATGCCACTTGTACATGTGTTGAACTACTTTCTAGTGACATAGACTTTGCATGCACCAAAGCCATGCCTTTTAATTCACTCCCAGAGAAATTGTCATTAAAAAGACACTCATACAATACGTAACCATCAGCACATCCGACGACTTGCGTAGCAACTAACCAATTTTCGTCAAACAGAAAAAGCTCACAATTGAAGAAAAAGCTCCTTATGAATCATTGACACATTAGAACTTGTAAACATGAATTGTGTGATGTGTTATTTGTCTTGCACCTAGACTGTTTTAGGCACAATGAGGGCGTGCGGACACCTCATTTCTTTTAGAGATCACATCTTGCACTGAAGACATTCCCGAGTCGCTGGCTAGACGTACCAATACTACCATTGCTTCACCGCCCACACTGGATCAATACTAGTATTAATACTAGCACGCGAGTGAATCACCATCGCCGCTAACAATGGCCAATGCGACAGCTCCCTGAGCTTAACCATAAACAACTCTAGCTGTTATAAGTACAAAATAAAGAATCTGTTCTTAACTAGGCATCACCAAATGACCACAAAATGTTTCTGATTATGAAGTAATGCGATCTGCGATAAATTATACATTTTTTCAAAGGGGGACGTGAAAATCGCCGCCATTAGTTTACATTCCGTCGAGGTACGCTACCATAACGCCAATTTCAAACAAATTATTCAAATTTCTAGAAAAATTTTCATTTTAATAACATGTAATTATCATGCTATTATAAATAAAATTTGCTTTATATTACTATATTACTGCTAATTCTAGCAAATTTGTTTGCATTTTAGCATAGATTTTAGCTATTTATTCAGTACATAAGCGACCTTTAAAAATGGAGAGTTGTGTTGTCATTTATTGTTGTTGTGGTTGTAGCAGAGTGTGCTGCTCATAGTTTGCATCCATTTTATACTGTTTTCTTGATGAAGAAATAATAATAAATACTATGGCGTCTGTAAAAGTTGCGGTTAGGTGTCGACCATTGAATAAAAGGTACGTAACGCGCGATCAAACGTCTTTGTAACTCGAACGTCATTTGCCATTTGAAGTAGGGCCTACTGTAGTATTGTACTGAAGTAATGTGATTCTGAGTCACTCATGGCCCAGGTGCGTATTATGTATTGCAGCTATGTATTGGTGCATATGTGTGCGCATTATACGGATTGAATGCATTTTCCTTAACTGGTAGTGGTAGAGCAGTTATTACCGTACTGAAACTAAAATAGTTGCTATACTATACTATGTATTTATATATATAGCCTTTATAGGGCTAACTGTGTCTGTGGCGTTAATAATAATGGATAAAAGATCATACAGTGTCAATACAGAGCCACAGGTTAGTGACGGAAGTGGCAGCAAATAAAAATAAATTAATTTTGGTGCCTATCTTCCCCGATTCTTACATTTTTTTAACAAATGTTTTGTATTTCTAAAGGGAGGAAGCACTTGGTAGTTCTGTGATTATCTCTATGCAAGGAAGAAAAACTTTCATCACAAATGTTAAGGTAAGGTTTTACTTGTGGATTGTACATCAGTCATTTGCACATCTCAATTATGATTTGTGTGTTTGAAATTTGTATTTTGGAAGCAATACAAAGTTATACAAAACAAGGTGTATGGTGCATTTAAAAAAAGTTGTATGCTGTATCTATACTAATTGTATGCTGATTTGAGAAAAGTGAATAAGTTTTAAAGGCGGTATTGTCCTGGATCGCACCACTCTGAGAACTGCTGGGCCTGTTAACTTTTGACTTAGTACACCCTTATTATAACCAATCACAGTCTGCCTTTCTACTACATGCATTGTTATAGGCTTGTTAATTTTTTGTTTCCTCTATAACATCAACCAGAAATCTGTCTAGTCTGTAGGTGATGGATTATGTCAGCTTGTAACTTATAATATAAGATATTGCTATTCAAATTGATAAAATTTGTGTATGTATTTCTAATTCATACTTCAGGCCCCATTGGAGGCATCAGGAGGAGATTCTGGCAGAGAACGAGCAAAGACGTTTGCATTTGACTTCTCCTATTGGTCTGCCGATAAAAACGATTCACACTGTATCAACGAAGACACAGTAAGTACAGCATTTATATATACACAATAAGTACAGTCAGTAATGCCTTTAAATTGACTACATCACGAATTTTCGATGGTCAAATTTGTAAAATTTTTGTTGCCATTTTTTTACATTAAAAGTAAGAACTAACGGGACTAAACGTATCATCAAATCTTTACCTGATAAGATTGTTTCTCAACTAGTTAAAAATCAAAAAAACCTGGACGATTCGATATTATGTTCCTGACATTAATTGCTTGCTATGGGCTATGTATGAGTCACGAGTATATGTTTTACATCGAACAATATAGTAAGATAGGAAGTATAATGCAGCAATTTAACCATAAAGGGTGAATAGAATTACTTATATTTTGTGAAAAGTGGGATTTTTAATTTTTATTTTGACTATTTACGGTGACGTAATCACTTTAATTGCATGGTAGCAGTTGATGTCTGAGGTGTTGTGTTTGCATTTATACATAGAAATATACATGATACATGCATAAACCTATAAGGTTGGGGGGGGGGGGCATACACACCCAGTTTAGTGTGTGTTTAAATACGTACACAGGTGTGCGTGCACATGTCTGTGTTTATGTGTGGGCATATGTGTGTGTGCGTGCGTGCGTGCGTGCGTTCGTGCGTGCGTGCGTGCGTGTGTACATGCGATTAGGATGTATTTGTGTTGTACACATGCATGCACATACCCACGCATGCATGCATGCATGCACGCAAAACACCCACAAACAAACATATGCTCACACATGTACGCAGACATGTGCATGCACAGATGTGTGTGTATTCAGACACACACACACCAACTTGGGTATGTATGTTACAATGTACGTTTCCCACACACGCGCACACACACACATGTACGCAGGCACACAGAAATGTACACAATCCTATTAATGCATTAAAGCATCATATAAAGTCCACAAAATTATATTTTTGAGATTACCATGTATGACACACTATGGATGCTTTAGATCAGTTCTATTCCATGCAGTATTTTCTCACATTAAAAACAGTGGCAGCAAACTTTAAGTGAGATCTGCATGTCAGATTCAGATTTAGATTAATTTTATTTTGCACTTTTCATTCATTTGTACAGATCATTTAAGATAGAAGTAAAAAGGGAGAGAAATAAATAATATTAGAGAATCGATAGGTTTAAGGTGAATGTGCGTAGTGGTCAAAGTAGCCATAAGCTTTCAAGTTGACCACTACCACTGGTAATAAAATGTCTGAGGGAAAAGTACAATTAAACTAAATATAGGAAATAAGAGGGAAAAAAATATATACATACATACATGGAAACAGTAGAAAAAAAAATGCAATTGATGTAATAAGTAATAAGTAACAACAAGAACAAGAAAGCAATTATAATTATTATAATATATAACTAATTTCTAATGGTCCTAAATAACATGCACTAATTTAATTTAATTGATCGTAATACTGGCTGTCAAGAAGGAATAGCTTATAATCATGTTTAAATTTACTGTGAGGCGAGGTTTTAATTTCAAGAGGAATTTCATGTGCATGCATGATTCTCACAGCAGCAGCCAGACATTACGTGAGTAATGGCGAATGCTGATATGTCACGCAGAAACGTACAGCATGCGCTAATGAATGCTTTGCGTGATTGCCAAACCTGTACATTAAAACAAGTAGCTCTATTGTGCAGGGTTTAGGTGTGGCTGTAGATTTGGCTCTACAGGCTTATGTAACAAAATCAGTTAAAACGGAGGATTTTTTATCTGTTATTTTTAACGTTTGCTTGTCCTATTTATAAAGTGGTCCTACTCTTTCTGTCATTTTGTGCTAAGAACTTGAAGGTCAACATCAGGCCAATTTGTTTTGTACGTTTTTCTTAAATGTGTAAAACTGTATAGAAATTATAATGAGGGCTTGAGGTCCTTGATTCGGACAAATATAACTGGTTGTTCAGTTCTGCACTGTAGATAGACATGCTTTCAAAGGCCCCATAAGCTGGCAATACTGGGAGTGAGTCCATCTGTTATTTATAAAAGGTCCGGTCAAAGTATATTATTAGAACCAACAGTTTATTATTACAATATGCCCCATATAAATTTACGTTTGGCTTATGGCTCTGGGCAGGGTGCGCAGTTCAACCTAGCCCAGTTCTGATTTCTGAATAACTGCATATTAGTGATTTTTTTTATTTAGTGTCCTAAAGCTAGTATCACCTACTCCAACCTGATGCGAGATGGATGTATTTTGGTTGTCAGCATGCAGATGTTGATAAAACATTTCCTATCTACTAGGGAGGCAGTTAAATAGACCTACCAAGCCACCTTAAAACGATGTCTTGTTTGCAGTAATCTGACCCAGCATTTGTGATGCAGTAAATGCCTAGAACAATCTTCTACTAATTCCTGCACACCTGCTATAAGTCATGTTCGCATAATAATCCGTAAACCTCAAAATTCTTTTGTGAAGAGGCGAAAAATGCCTCGGTCAATGGTTATAATCCGCTTGGCGAGGTACAGTAACTGGGAACTCGTTCAAGAGTGGCATCAAACTTTAAACGTGCGAGCCTTGAATAGAGCTTGTCGCTGTAAAGGTGTGACTATTAGGGTTCCCTACTGTACATGTGTAATGCCATACTAACCCTTTGCTTCTTTGCAGTGTGAGTTTTTCCATTCATGGTAATTAAGTTCCACCGGTTCCATCGCAATTATCTGTAATTATAAGTCTGTACACTCGTGTGCCTAGTGTAAATGAAAGAACATGCACATGCTATAAATCACTTTCGGTTTCTTTAGTGGATATATACGTGTGTTTCCCCCTATATTTCTACACAAAACCATTTTCGCTAATTGCTGTTCCCTACTTCTAGCAAGGCCTGTGACTCATTCCATTACGTTCTTACACCTGCTTGTTTATTTATATGTTTTAGGTGTTTGCAGACTTGGGTATAGGTGTAATAGATGCAGCCATTGAAGGGTACAATGCTTGCGTATTCGCTTATGGCCAGACAGGTTCCGGGAAGACGCACACCATGATGGGTTCCCAGGTACAATAACACATAATATACGATAATTACAGTGGACTCCTGAGATACGTATTTTTAAAATTCGTTCCACAGATTTGTTCGTATCTCGAACCCTAGATATAGGACGCACAGCAAGTGCAATCATGAGAGCACAACCACATTCAATAAGTCACATACTTAAACTGACTCACCGAAAGAGCGCACTAGGCCCATGCCCTGATTGGCTGATTCGTAAGACGTTCGTATGGAATTTTATTCGTTCGTCAAATACATTACATTCAACGGGATGTCGTTCGTATCTTGAAAATTCGTATGTCGAGCCGATCGTATCTCGGGGGTCCGCTGTGCATGTTTCAAACTGCGATCTGTAACACATTTCAATCAGCTTGCACGTGTGTATAACTAGATTGTTACTGACAATGAAATTTTTTAATCGTTTTTAGGAGAGTCCCGATGTTGTTGGTTTGACACCAAGGATATGTCAGGTGAGTGTGTGTTAAAGATACTTATTAATGCTGACTACATTCCTCTGTATGTATTTGGTATCAGGACTTATATATAGTTGACATACATTAATTATGATGCTCCTGCATGTGATGTCAGTTTATTATCTTATTTTAAATTGACAACCTATCTCTAAACCCAAATGTCAAGCTAAATTAATATATTTTATCTCTTTAACTTACAAAGATTCATAGTCATATTTTAGTTAGTTTTATGTTTGTTCTTAGTAACAATGTATTGAAGACTTAATTACAGTTTAGTATGATTAACGTTGAGCAATACCTTATCTTCTTATTCACCTTTTAGGGGCTGTACAACAAAATAGAAATGCTCAAGGGTGAAGGCATAAGCTTCCGAACCGAAGTCAGGTAATTGGGTAAATTTATACTTTAGATTTAAAATTGCTTCACATCAAAATGATAGTTCTTGATGTCTCTGGTGTCAGAATTTGGAGTTAAAGTGCATGTGTTGTCATCGTTAATGAGTGATAAATATAAATTATGAGACATTATTTTATTAATGTTAATTAAACTAAGAGGGGTTGAAAGTGTGTTGTATGGTTGTATGTATTTCAGTTACCTAGAGATTTATAACGAGAGAGTGCGAGACTTGCTATGTACGCTAGGTACAGGCGAGGAGTTTGGTACACACTCGCTGCGTGTTAGAGAGCATCCCAAGGAAGGACCCTACGTTCAAGGTGAACATACCATTTGTTGAGCTCAGTAGAATTTCAAGTTTCTTCATAGCTGTGACTTAACTCTTGGAGCCAAAATGACTGTTCGCGATATCGGGGTGATATCTATCTATGTATTTTCTGGTCTCATAACTTTTAACTGTGGTCTACATTATGAATAATGTGGTAGGCATGCTACTTATATAGATAATATCAGGAATACATAATGAAGATTATTATCTTCTGTTGATAATATGTAACGTGTATTGTCTTCTACTTCATTTAGATCTCAAGTTGTCAATACAAATATAATATAATTCAATTTTTAAGGGGACAATGTTAATGAACCATTGAAACCAAAGTTGTAGAATAAGGATTTACTTTGTGGTTTAATCTATTCATCAATGTCTTTTTAATCTTTTTCAGATTTGTCCAAACACTTGGTGATGAATTATGCTGACATACAAGATTTGATGAACATAGGAAACAACCGCAGGTTTAGCATTTCATATATCATCATTATTCTGAAAGTTGCTTGCTTTATAAATATTATCAAAATGCATGTTAGTGTTGAGCATATAGATGTAAAAAAATTACATTGTATATGTGTTTGTAACATAACCTGCCACTTTTTAATACGTGATGAAAGATTATTGTAATAAAGACACGTTAAGTCTAACCTAGTCGCCCGACTTTTCCCAGGACAACAGCAGCAACACAGATGAACGATACCAGTAGTAGGTCTCATGCCATCTTCACTATCACCTTTTCACAGGTAAACACATCTCATGATCAGTGACCAAGTAACCAGATTTACATTATGTCAGAATGTAAGATGTCGTTTGTTGATGATGATATGTTGTAAATTGTTAATGTATATGGTAATAGTGTAAAGTTTAAATAGTTATTTTACCTATTACACAAGCCACTGGTATTAATAACTTTTCTTTGAGAACATGTTCACATTGGCATGTGTTTCTCTCTGTAGGCAAGGTTTTCTCGAGATATGCCGAGTGAAATGGTGAGCAAGGTTCACCTTGTTGACTTGGCTGGCAGGTAAAACTATTATATATGTCATGCAACTAATTACACGACAGCTTTACACGTATGCTATGGAATCCAGACTAAAATGACCTCATTATAAAGGTTTTACAGGGCATTAGTGCATGGGCATAGAAATACTCTTGAACAAAAATCGTGTCTATTTATGAGCTCACACAATATTTGACCATTTACTGCATCACGTGATAAATCGTTGAAATTCCATTGGATAACGTCGCAGGTACTAGGAAGCAATAGTGCCCGCCTGAGCGGGCACTATTGCTTGCGCGACGCATTGTTATTATAACGCATTGTGTTCACGTCAGGAATCTCCTGCGTCTGGGCGCCACGCAAGAGTTTCGAATTAATGGCGGTTGTGTTTGTGTCGAGCGTTTTGTTACATCGAATGCACCGGCAAATTAGGGAGTATAAAGAAGGTATATAAGCATGAAAAGTAAACAGAAACACTAATTGTATTTTCATACATTTTATTTTGTACAAATAACACACAAATATACTACTTGCTGGTGCTAGAAATTGTTCGTTTAAGAAACTTTGTCTTATTCACTTCATATTTGCCAAGTAGATTGCAAAGTCATGTGATGCACTAAAAACATTAATGCCTGTTGTTGGGGGCACTATGCTATCATAGTGTTGCTTTGGGAAGGAATAGTGCCCTCGCTCACGCAATTTTGACCATTTCTTGGAGCAATTTTTAATTGTTTACTATCATTATTGTTTGCAAGCTAAGATTACTGTGATGGTAAATTTAGTCTGCTGCTCCATAAAGTGAGTCGTTGTACTGTAACTGTGCATTCTGTATTGACAGTGAGAGAGCAGATGCATCAGGAGCGACGGGCGTCAGACTAAAGGAGGGAGGAAGTATAAACAAGTCTCTCGTCACACTTGGAACGGTCATACATGCTCTGGGTGAGAAACTCTGCTATTTCCATCTGCTCTAGAACAATCATGCTGCACACAGAAATCGTGCGAGTAATCAAAACTCGATTATGCAAAGTCAAATGTGCACCCGTCTTTAATTATGTGTTTCATGTGAATTCATTGGTTAGGCTCATGTAGTTAAATAAGATTAAATAAGAACTTTTATCAACATTTAGATGATTGTATAGTGTTTTAATACATACTGACTGCGTAAATTTCCTTGTGCTGTTTGTACATGTGATAACTTATTGCATGCTTAACAGATTTAAAGGTTCTGTTTCGCAGACATGAACATTGTTTGCCAGATGTAAGAATTGGGATTAGTGATTTTGAAGATCATGTTAGCATACTTGAATGTTATCTTTAGCATACCTTGTGTGTACCACACGTGAACATGATGTTTTGTATACCTTGGCAGAGTTCTCCAAGCTTTTTCATTATAGCATGGCGGGTGCTGCCTTTACGGTCCTAGTTGCAAATCGCCAAAGGCGGTTTGCGTGCTAGGGAGGTCCGGGGGCTATGATATTTAGCATGGCGGCTATGATATTTAGAGTGGCGGGTGCATTTTAGGATGGCGGGGCTCGACGATAGCCTGGCGGGCCGCGAGGCTATAAGTGCTCTTGGAGAACCCTGCTTGGGTGTACCACACTTGAACATTATCTTTAGCATACTTGAACATGATGTTTAGCATACTTGAACATTATCGTTAGCATACTTGAACGTTGTGTTTAGCATACCTGAACATTATCGTTAGCATACTTGAACGTTGTGTTTAGCATACCTGAACATTATCGTTAGCATACTTGAACGTTGTGTTTAGCATACTTGAACATTATCATTAGCATACCTGAACATTATCATTAGCATACCTGAACATTATCATTAGCATACTTGAACGTTGTGTTTAGCATACCTGAACATTATCATTAGCATACTTGAACGTTGTGTTTAGCGGACATGTGCAGCGTAAGATCGCCGGAGAAGAAGCAGATGTTCATTCCGTACAGGAATTCCGTGCTGACGTGGCTCCTGAAGGACAGTCTGGGCGGCAATTCGAAAACTATCATGATCGCCAGTAAGTTTGCTATACCTTTCATTAATTAACTGAATAATTTAATTATGTTAGAGGTGCATATATATTTGGTTATGTAAATTGATTGATGGTGGTAACGATAATGGAGATGACACTTAGAAGTGTGAAACTTTAGTTGGCGTGTGCTGTGAGTTAAGACGTTGAATTTAAGCTTTGTAGTAATCCTACGTCATATATGCGTTGACTCGAGTGATTAATTTGTTGCAGCCATATCTCCAGCCGATGTCAACTATGCAGAGACACTGAGCACACTGCGATATGCAAACAGAGCCAAGAACATCATCAACAAACCTACTGTCAATGAGGTATGCAGTGGCTAAACCTTCAGGAATAGCTAGTATTCCCTTCCTCTTCGAGGTTTCGTTGTATTTCTTAGTACTGTGTTTTAAATATCTGCAATCCTTACATTGAATTTCTGTTATTGACAACAGTTAGTGCACAATTTGGCATCAATCTTTCATGTGGACTATAGAGGATTTTTTTCATACGAATTATAGTTCTAGAAATGTGAGTTCACTCTCGTTGTTGTTTAACAGGATCCGAACGTAAGGCTGATCAGAGATTTGCGATCGGAGATTGCCAAACTGCGAGCCATGCTGGGTGGAAATGTGGTGAGTTCGCTAATTTACCAGTTGCCAAACTGTGTGTGAGTCTTTCAATTAGGCGGACTTTCTGCCATTCTGTGAGTTGTCTGTAATGTGATATTGAAGGTATAGCTAGTAATGAGGAGTACACAATAAGATACAGATCACCTTAATTCAGTGCTAGTAAGGCAGAACTCCGTGAAATGTGGGTAAGAATTCTATGTAACATACAATAGGTACATGGCAGTAGTACATATGAGAGCGCAATGTGTATTGATGTGACTACGACATGCGTATACGTGCATCGAAATATATATATACCTGAACTGGTCTTTAGCAATGAAGCAAAGAGTTGAAGAATAATCTTTTAAAATTTTTAGTGAATGATTGTTAGTGATGCACACAGAAAGCTCAATGTACATGCATTATCTATAGTCAAGTTATTCGAAATACAACTATGATGCATTACAAATTACAAAAAATTTCCATTCTTACACTGATTTGGTTAATGATTTAATCCAGATGACGTAGCAGACTTGTGTATGTTATATATTACTATAATCAGCAGTGAATCGTATTCCATGTATTAACACGTGAACAATATCTTGTCATCTTTCTATATTGCTTGTAATTTGTGCTTCAAATTTTCTTTCAGAACATGTACCCAGGAGTCCATGAAAGGTTGCATGAGAGTGAGGCCAGGGTAAGTATCCTTGACTTTTACCAACTCTTCAATTTATGCTTTTGATGTGTTGTAAATAAATCGGTGGGGATATCGGACAAAATCAGAAGAGTGCGATTGTAATATTGTAAACTGTTGATTGAATCGCCTGTTTAAATTTTACGCTTATACATAGTTTAGCAGGTAGTTCTCCGTAAAAAAATTATCCAGAATGTTCAATGTACATGCAATATCTGTGGTCAAGTTATGTGCAATACAACTATGATGCAGGTAAGCATGGTTTAGCATGTAGTTCTCCGTAAAAAAACATTATCCAGTCTTGCTCATAAGTCACCGGTCGCGGATCAGGACACCGCTATTTCCGACGCTATCTCTAACCGCGTGTGTGCTGCGACGACAGGTTAAGGTGTTGACGGAGGAGTGGCAGGGGCGCTGGCAGGAGATGAGGGAGATACTCACCGAGCCGAGCCTCGGACTGCGCAGGGAGGGCCTCGGCGTCGTGCTCGACTCCGAGCTGCCACACCTCATCGCCATCGACGACGACCTCCTGAGCACCGGGGTCATCCTCTACCACCTCAAGGTCAGACAAGGTCAACTCTGCTGCGCTCACCACTCACGGTGTTTGTGTCATGCAGTGACGTCGATGCTTACGCAGTGAATTGATGATATACTGATGATGAACAGAGGCAGTTAGATAGTAAAGTCATTTACCTAATTACCGTAAATAATATACCGATCGATATCAAAATATAGCCGATACGACGTTCTGAAAAATGTTGAAGGTTAATTAGCAGTACCTGGTTAGATGTTACTGTTTGTTATAATGTTGCAGGTAAATAATATACACTAATAATGATAACAATATTGAAAATAAACAGATTGTGGGGTGTTAGACATACGTTTATATTTATATTATTGCCTGTAGTTATACATATGTATATATATATATATATATTCTATAATTTACTGTAATATTAGACAGTTAAAATAACAGGCATAGATGATATAAAATATATATTTCTGTTAACTATATAATATGATATAATCTGATTGTGCTGGTAATCTAACCATAGTTCAACCGGAGATCTGCAATGCACGTGGTAGTTTATACATGTATGCTTACATCTAGTACGTAATATCTGTTTCACTTAATGCTACCTTAGGAGGGGAAGACAAAGCTGGGAATGGAAGGGGCTGCTACACGGCAAGATATATGTGAGTGCACATTATAATTATTATCCTAATATAATCCGGAATACTTCAACTTCATACAATATTAGAGAACCTTTTACCTCCTTTGTATGTTTTAACCAGCCACATAGACTACATATCACTGGTTATAATAATGAGCTTAATCTTAAGTTTGAGAACTATAATGTTATTATACTCTAATGTGGCTGAAGGGGTCGTTCTCGTTTCAGGTACTACATATATGTACCCGAGGTACATATATGTATACACAAAGTGTACCAGACTTGTACTACAGAAGTGTACCCTAACCCTAACCCTAACCCTAACCCTAAACATACCTTATATAAAAATATAAACATAATACTAAACAACCTAAAACTACCTCGGGTACATATATGTAGTACCTGATACGACAACGACCCTTTGTGCTCTAATGTGTCAACAATATAGTGTAAGTGATTGTATCATAATAAACAACATTTTGAGACAACTTATGTATATTCTAGCGTCATGAACACTGCTGTGCTGCATGCATTGGCTACCATAACATATTTATAGACAAAGATACCTTTCTTCGAGCAAATTGTAAATGCGTGGATGTGATATTAATTGTGAGCATTATCTTGTAGATCTGAGTGGATTGGAGGTGGAGCCGGAACACTGTGTAATAATGCACGATAGCGACGGCGTTGTCACGCTGATTCCACAGTCAGGTGCACAGTGTGTGATAAGTGGCACTCTAGTCGAGGAGGCCACACAACTAAGCCAAGGTACTCTATATATGCCATATTTTTCGCATACAGATGTTTTCGCGAATTCAGACTTGACGAACAATTTCGCGAGTGGTTAATTTCGCGGTCGGTGAATTATAACTTATTTGGTATTATTCGATATGAATTATTCACGTGTTGTTATTTTCGTGGTCGCGGACGTGTTCGCGAAATTCACGAAAATTAAACCGCCGCGAAATATACAGCGTATACAGTACGTGAAATTGTGGGTTAGCCTCACTTGATCGCCCAGGTTGAATCGAACCATGATAAATTGAAGGTAATAGCAGTGGTGGGTAAAGAGAAAGTTCTAGGGAGTAAGGAATGCCCCAGTCCCTCCCCCTTGTCACTGCAGGTCCGATTTTCCAATATGTGGCAAAAATCTGTCTGAGTGAAAATTAGATGAAGTACTTCAGAAAAGAAATTTGAATCATAATTGGATTGTAACTGTATTTCTCATATGTACGTATGTACATGTATGCATTAATTTTGTTTCTTTAAAATGATATTGTTTTACTTAGTTTACATAAATGACAGTAATTTTTAGTAATGACAGTAATTTACTTACCAATACATAACTGTTGTAGTGTTCATTATACAGCTGAAGCATATGCATGTGAATATACAGGAGGTTAGACTGTTAGAGTAGTTTTCGATTGTTCTCATCGTTACCTTTTATTCGTACTGTTACACTGTAAGTACAAAGTGTGACTCGAAGCAGGCTGAGGTGATATCTCGTATATATGCCCTAATTAATTGTGCTGGTGGTTCTGGAGTCATGCACTTATTAGGACCAATCAGCGGATATGCCGTTGTGTGTTTAATGAGTAATTATTGATTATGTTAATGATCACTTATTGCTATTGTCCAGCAGTTGTCCAACCATCATGGCCGCAGCTGTCCCTGTGAACCGTACATAATCTCATACATCCATATTGACCAGTTGTCTCATCCACTCTGCTCTGTGGACCACACTTGTTAGAAGCAATTGTTTATATCTGTTGAAATTCTGTCAGTAGTAGTTCGTGTGCCCTGTACTCTTGCACATGGATTGAAGTGTTAAGCAGTGCATACTATATTGTGTTATTGATGCCTCATTGAGAAACGTGCTTTACATCTCGCCGTGTGTAATGAACAGTTTAGATGAAGGGCGTAATCATTGTGTTGTAAGCATGGTGATGTTCACGTTTCAGGCTGTGTGATATTACTGGGTCAGTCGAACATGTTTCGCTTCAATCACCCTGCAGAGGCAGCCAGTCTGAGGAGGCAAGGACTCAGAAGCGTATGTTTAATAGTCACGTTGCTACTGCTGTTAGCTTTCAACCGTTTGCGGTGCTTATCTGTGTTTGCCATAGTTTAATTGCTCATTCTACATGTATGTACAATGCATGAGCTAATAATTGATGTTAAAATACCAGTTTCGGTTAGACGTAAGTTCAAAACTGGCTCCTGAGTAAAAGAAAGACAAACGTGCAAATCTTTGGTGGTTTAGTTTTTTGTCCTTTTTACTTATTTATTCAGTATTTATCACAGGTTAAATATGGAATTATTTGTTTAATATTATGTAGGGTTTATTTATTATTGACGGTGCATTATCCTAGCACACAACTGTAGAATGTCGGATTTCCGACTTGTCACGATGCATTCAATTAAATGTTTTGCAATAACTAGTTTACCATTACTGTAAGTAACAATAGTTAGCATTCGTATTACTCTAAAATCATGAGTGTTTTGTATGTGGTTAAAGTTGCACATTATACACATTACAATAATGGGTGTTTATCAAATTGTGTGTAAAAAAAGTGAGTGCATAGACCTTGACCTAGAAATTCGCTGGTGTTCCACTTATTGAGAATATTTTATTCTGGGGTCTGAAAATATTAAAGTACTCGTGCAATGTGATTGTTTCATTTACTGGAAACTGATATGATCTTGTAGACGTTTTCATCTCTCTGTTTTGGCCGAGGTTTCTCTGTGGTAGACTCCTCTATGCGTATTAGTTTTTTCGAAAAGGTAAACAAAAGGCAGCACTGCGTTCTCCATACATCAGCGATAGCGGCATAAGCAGTCAAACGCTTTCATTTACACAACGATGTTTAATCTTCCCTCCTGCCACACAGACGGCGAGTACATAAAAGTAGGACAGACGTAGATAGCTAATATTATTATAGTCGTAAAAGCTAACGACAACAGAGCGAACGTCTGGCACTCGCTAACAGTCCTGCCTGCCGTGGCGATCGCTAACGACGCATGCGTCTGCGTGTTTTAGACGAGTCTGGGTATGTCACGCACGTCTCTGCTCAGTCAGTCGATGTCGGATCTCGTGAAGTCGACGGAGAACCTGACGCTGCAGAACGCGAGCATCGAACTCGAGATGAAGCATCAGCAGGAGCTGGAGCAACTCGAAGCCAAACGGTAAGCGTGGATTTTATGTCGTCCCCGCGGAAATCCGTTCACGTATCAGACGTTTATGTTTCACGTTTTATATATGTCTCTCTCTCTTTTCTCTCTCTCTGTCTCTCTCTCTTTCGATCTCTCAGCTCTCGTCTCGTCTCTGCTGCTCTGCTCTCATCGTCTCTCGGTCCTCTTTGCTCTCTCTCTTCTTGTCTCATCTCTCTCTTCTGCTTCTCTCTCTCTCTCCTCTCTCTGCGTCTCCGTCTCATCTCTCTGCGTCTCAATTCTCTCTCATCTCTCTCCTCGCACATCAGTCGAGCGGCTCTCGTCATGCTGCCTCTCTCTCTTTCGAGTCTTCTCTCTCATGCTCTGGCTCTCGTCTCGTGCTCTCGTCTCTGCTCTCATCTCGTCGCATCATCTCGTCGGTCTCTGCGCGCTCGTCTCCGTTCTCGGCGTGCCGCCTGAGCTCGTCTCCGCTTTGGCTCGCAATCGTCTGCTGTCGGGCCCGGTCCTCTCATCATCTCGTCTCTCCTCTCTCAAAGGTCCGGCTTGCTCTCTCTCTCTCGTCCATCGTCCTCTCTCCTCTCGTGCTCTATTAGTAATATTATATTTCTCTCTCTTTCTCTCCTTGCTCGTCTCTCTCTCTCTCATCCCTCTCCTTTCCTCAGGTGCTCCTCTTCTCGCTTCTCTCTCTCGTCTTGGTGTCTCTCTCTCCTTTCTCTTCTTCGGTTGCGGGTGTCTCCTCTCGCCGTTCTCTCTCCGCTGGGGGAGAAAGCCCGCCGCCCTCTCCTGCTCTTCCCGCGCACCCTGCCATGGTCGGGGAGGTCGGAAGGGAGCAGGGGCGCGTGGGGTGGTCGGGGGTCTCGGTGTCTCCTAGAGGTGGCCGTGATGTGTCGCTTGCGGGTATGTCGGAGTCTTGCGGTGGGGGGATAGAGTAGAGGCGATATAGGCGGTCACGGGGTGAGCGGTGCGGTGCAGGCGATAAGGGGACGTACGCGCGGGAGGGGTGGAAGGAATGCGTGCGGTTAGGGTGGGGGGGGCGGGAGGAAGGCGGGGAGTGGAGGATGGAGCGGAAGAGAAAGGAAGGGTGGTGGAGAGAGCGCTTCGAGTTACGTCGAGGAGGGGTGCACAATGCTCCGGCTCTCGGGATGTCCCGTCGATGTGTCTGGCGGAGAGCCGGTCTGGGGCCTCGGTGGGGTGCGGTGGGAGGGCTGGGCGAGGAGGGGACACCGGCGGGCAGGGCGAACTGCAGGGCGTCGTCGCGGTCCCACGACATGGGAGCGGTATGCGTATCTCTCTCGAGGCGACGGCTTCGGAAGTGCGTCTTGGGGGGCCAGTCGGTCTCTCGACCGTCGAAGCGTGGCGGTCCGCGGTTCGTCCCGGCGGGCCGGTCTTTCCGCGAACTGAGTCGTCCTCGTCTCTCTCTTTGCTCGCGTCTCTCTCATCGTGCTTTCTGTCTCTGCTCGGTCTCGGTCTGCTTCGTGCTCTCGCGATTGCTCTCTCTCTCACGAGGGGTCTCCTAGTCGATCTCCCGTCTTTCTCTCTCTCACTCGAGGGGGTCTGTGCTGGAGTCCTGCTAGCCTCTCCATGCTCAGAGCGGGGGCGGGAGCTGGGGGGGGTGTGGTCGGGACCTGGTGCTTCCTCTGACTGTGCCGGGTATTGTCTTGTTTCTGTCTTCTGGTCTCTCTTTCGCACTCGGCCCGTGCTGGTCTGTTTCTGGCGTGTGAGTCTCCTAGTAGAGTTGGAGTGGCTGGTTTTGTCGTGTGGCTCATGACTTTCGCAGTTGCGTGAGTAAAGATAAGAGGAATGGCGAGAGTTTATGTTGCGGATTGGCCCATATTGGAGCAATGCTATATCCATGTGATCATGTGAACTGATCTGATCAAGTCTTATTAGATGCATGTATATAGCTATAATATAGATTAGATCATGTAATAATCTCGTACTATGCGAGAGGGTGAGGATAGGTGGGATGGTAATATGGCGTGTATTAGTTGGATTCGATGCTTGGCAGGGGTGGAATGATCTGTATATTAGGGCCTTGTTGCGATGCCAGCGCCGGCGGAGCCCCCATTAGGATCAACATACGCCGTAGTGGAGTTGTGGCATGATCTATTGTGTGCAGCATCGAGGGCGTAATATTAATCACCACTGATTCAGTGTGTAATGAGGATTCGGTTAAGATATTATTGATCATGGTCGTGTATCTATATCTGAGATTGAATGGCTGGTCAGATATATCGTATCGTGGAGTTGAGAGTGTCATGGTAATAGCGACCGGGGATATTATGTTGAGTGATGCCGTGGAGGGATATCTAGATTACTATGTGTTTTCGTGGTAGATAATCAGTATGAATTCCGGAGGCACGGCTGATTCGATGGTGATATGTCTGGATAAAGTCTGAGAGTGAAGCTGCTTATGTAATAATCTATATCTATTGATAATCGTAATAATGCTAGTATCCACCTAATCTTTTAATATCTGATATCATTGATCATTAAGGATACTATATCTGCTAGTTGATACAGGTTATATCGTATATCTATATCTATTGTTTATGTAATATCGATATCTATTGATCATGTAATATCTATATCTATTGTTTATGTAATATCTATATCTATTGATCATGTAATATCTATATCCACTGATCATGTAATATCTATATCTATATCTAGATCTAGATCATGTAATATCCATATATCTACACTTCTTCCAGTAAACTGATAGAAGAACTGGAGCGATGCCATTTAGATGCAGAAGAGAGTAGGAGAGACGAACAGGAGATGAGAGACCGAGAGATGGCAGAGCAGTCACTAATTATAGAGCGCATACACCAGGAGACAGCACGACTTAACAAAGAAGCAGAGGAGGTAAAAATCACAAGATACTAGTTGTCGTATATAAGAATGTGTGTACGTAATACCAGAAGCCAGAATTTAAGTATAAACGTTTGGTTTTTGACATGTTCAGCTGATCATAATTGAGGTGTAACTGAAGAAGAGGTGTGTTTTGCGACTTTATATATTCTTAATTTGTTTATCGATTGTGTAATTCCGTAATACGTATATGTCTCTGTTTCTTGCAGGCACAAGATAGAATTAAGAGAGAGGAATTAAAGTTGCACCGTAAGTCGATGGATATTGAACAGCAAAGGAAAGAGTGGATGGAGGAGGTTGAAAGATTCCAGGTGGAGAAAGAGCGTCTAAAACAAGAAAAGGTTTGTCTATGCCACGGTTGCCAGTGTGTGTATGTGTGTGCGTGTGCGTGTGCGTGTGCGCAAGCGCGTGTTCATGTGTGCGTTTGTGTGTGTGTGTGTGTATTTGCTTGCATGCATGCATGCATGTGTTTATGCAACATAAAGCTGCTGTTAATACAAACTATATGGAGGTCACAATGTCTTTTAGGAGAAAATGGAGGAAGAATTTGAACAGAGGGAGCTTGACCGGCAAGAAGTCGAGGAAGAGCGATCCAAACTGGAACAGCAGCAGAAGCTTCTGTTTGAACAAGAGAATGAAGGGAAAAGTCCCATTGGTTCTGTTGTCAACACAGCAGCTCAGGTGACTAAACAGCTCAGTAATTTGTGGTAGTTTGTATGCTGGCGTGCTATGTTTATAACAGTTTCTTTCTTGTTTTTTTTCAGAATGAGTTAATAATGGACTCATTGGAGTCATTGCTAGATTACATATTAATAATAATGTACCAAATGTTGATCACATTGGTTTTAAAGCAATCGTTGTTAGGGATATGGTTTTCTGATCACAGTTTAAACAAGCCTGAACTAACAATGGTAAATGGTGAATGAATATTTCACTTGTGTACAATTTATTCCTAGTACATTTTAATAATATTGGTAAAAAAAAACGTTGACGTATCTGTCTCTAGCTCAGTTATTTTAGAGTTGATATTAGCAACACCAGTTCCATTGTTTAGAATTCGTGTAAGAAAAAATATGCAAACGCAAACACGTACTCATCTCCATGTTTCTCTGTGCTGCCAACAGGTGGCGCTGGATGACGATGAGTGTGCTGTGCAGGCTAGGGTGAAGCTGCTGCTAGATCAGGTACTCCAGCAGGATCACGGAGATGACGCTGATGCCGACAGCCTCTCTGAGTCCGGTAGTGATGGCAGCAGGATCTGTCAGTTGGAAGAGAGGTGAGCTAATAAGCCTATTCGCTTACACGTTTAAAACCTAATGGGAGTTTCATCTCATATTTCGTCAGATGGTAGAATTTCTTTTCTACTGGTGTTGTCACTTAACAGATGGTTGAAGGCTTCCAGAGCAGACTGAAATTTAAACGAGCTGCTAGCTAGCTACTGGTAGCAACTGCTGATTGGACCACTCCTCTATATAGCTCAAGACACGGACTGATTATTCACATTATTATAACTCACTACACTCTGATAATACTCTGCAAGAACTCAAGTGCTTCTGTATAGTTGGCTACTTGTGCTCATAGGGTCTATGTCTCCCAGGGTACTGCCGGAAAGTACCCTGGGTACGGTCCGGTATACCGGAACGTACCCTGGTACTATCTAATATGCCGGACCGTAACTCGCTTACTCCACTAACAAGTCTAGGGAGTTGCCTACGCCTACTGCCAGTACTCCCTAACCCTAACCCTAACCATATCAGATAGTTACCAGGGTACGTTCCAGTAGTACCCTGGAGGACATAGACCCTATGAGCGCTACTTGTGCCTGATGAAAAAGAAGAAATCAAGCAATAGTGTGCTGATCATGAGTCACAAAATTGCCACTGGACGTTAGACATCCATAGTAGGAGACTCTCTGAAACTTAGTGTGCCATATATCGATTTGCATATCTTTCTTATATTATTTTTGACACACAAATTTGAGCCTCTGTGGCTTAATAAATATTGTCATTATGCAATGCAGAATACAATCGCAAGAGGAGCAGTTGGAGGCACTGGTATCCAACGAGCAGGACAGTAGATCAGAATGCAACAGGGAAGAGAGGGCTCAGCTTAGACAAGCTATCCTGCAACAGCTAGAGACGGGCAAAACCGAACTCCTACACATACTACAGAGTAAAGGAAAGCGCAGCAAGGTGAAGAGGCTCAACAGCTTGAGGAGCAAGGAGGAGAGACTGGAGTCTAAAATCGAGGTACTCGCCTACTCGGTGCTTATGTTTTAGGCTTGTGTGTATATTACCTGCATCTAAATATTGTTTAAGAATGAAATATTATTCTAAGCATGTTTATCCTAACTGTCATAGTAACTGTCATCATTAACTATAGCATATATTGAAATGACTGGAATATATGTAAATTAAACCCATTTTACATGCGTTTTTGGCAGAACAAAATAGTTTCGTTTCTATTTTGTGTGTAACAGATGTTAAAAAATGCTTAAATTAACAATTAGTTGACTTTATGATCTCCCCCTCCCCTTAAAAATTGAATGGGAATTCCAATTTTTATTTCTATTGTACCAAGTATTGACTGCCTATAAATATCATAATGATGGAAGTTTCTTCCAATGCTTGAAATCTCTGTTGCGCTTCACTAACAGGAGCTAAAGGAGTTAGCGCACCAGTATACGAACACAATGGATGAGCTAGAGGATAAGCGCGATAAATTTGAACGTGAGAGGATGCTCGAACTAGACAAGATCGAAACGGAAAAACTTCAACTTCAGGAGATGGAGGACCAGGAAAGGTAAGTCTCACATTTCTGCAGTAGGTACACTATTTTCTGGCACTGTTTTCCTGGAAAATGTCACTAAGAACTACTGCGTGTTTTCGCAGGATACCCTGAAGTATTTTTTCTTAATGTATGCTTTGTTATTTCTTGGGTGCATTCTTCACACTTGTAGCTTCTCACAAGCCAGTTATTATTGTCACTCCATGTCACTTGTGTTACTTGTCTTTATGGTCTCATCATCGTCTGATGCTCTTGTGTTTCTCTCGCTACCTGTCTCCATACTGTCTCCTCAGCGTCTGACGCTCTTGTGTTTCTCACGCTACCTGTCTCCTCATCTGATGCTCTTGTGTTTCTCGCGCTACCTGTCTCCCTACGATCTCGTCGTCTGACCCTATTGTGTGTCTCATTGGTTTCTATTGCGCTACCTGTCTCCTCTAGTGACACCCTTATGTTTCTCAAGCTAACTGTCTCCTTATCTGATGCTCTTATGTTTCTCACGCTAACTGTCTCCTCATCTGATGCTCTTATGTTTCTCACAAGAGCGTCAGACGATGAGGAGACGGTAAGGAGATAGGTAGCGTGAGAAACACGAGCATCAGATGAGGAGACAGTTAGCGTGAGAAACATAAGAGCATCAGATGAGGAGACAGTTAGCGTGAGAAACATAAGAGCATCAGATGAGGAGACAGCGTGAGAAACATAAGAGCGTCAGATGAGGAGACAGTTAGCGTGTTTCTCGCGCAGGATCAACGCGCTCGTCGAGGCCGAGGTGAAGCGACGCTGCTTTGACGAGACGGTGCGGCGAGCGAAGGCGCTCAAGCGATCGCGGGAGCGCGAGCGACGCACTCGCGAGCAGGAGATGTCGCGGCTGAAGCGCGCGCACGAGATCGAGATACAGCGGCTCAAGCAGCAGCTGGTGTCGCGCACCGCCGACACCGGCACCGCGCTCCCGACAAAGGCAAACCCGTACGCGACAATCCACAACAGCGACTCGCTGACGAGTCTCCGGCGACCGTCGGCGGACGTCGTCGCCGGCGGCAACGACCTCCCGCTGCGGGTCGCCGTGCCCGCGTTCGTGCTGCGCGGACACGGCGCGGATGCTCATTACGAGTACGAGGTACAGGTGGCGCTGCGGGGCGAGAGCTGGGTCGTCTACCGGCGCTACAGCCGGTTCCGAGAGCTGCGGCAGCGCATGGTGGCCGCGTACTCGGTGACGGCGGGGATCCCGTTCCCGCCGAAGCGCTGGTTCCGCAATCGCTCGGAGTGGGTGGTCGCGCAGCGGCGGGAGCAGCTCGAGGTGTACCTGCGCCGCCTGGTGGAGGTGTGCGGCGCCGCGCCGGGGTGTCCGCTCAACGTGGCCGATGGTCGCGTCGTCAAGCACTCGCTGTGGGAATTCTCTTCCTTCTTTAAGAAGGGCGTGTTTGAAACAACGAAGCACGGGACCGGCTGAAGGCGTTCAGTCGTCCGTTAACCCAACGTTGGTAGATTTACCCGTTCTTCTATTCGCTTCGGATGAAGACGTCT